CCGCTGGACTAATACAGGGAAGACCCCAGCAGTGCACCTCCCTAACCTCAAGGGGCTTCCCCAAGGGCTCTCCAGTGGCAGCCCTGGCCCTGCTCACACGAGGGCACAGCCCACCAACTTTGGCCAGAGTTGACCAGAATTGTGAAATCCACAAGGAGGTTGGTCCAGCATCTTGGGTATGTGTCACCACGTTCATACTCAGAGGGAGCTTTCCCCTGTGCTGAGCAGTCTGCTTCCATGTAAGACCGTGGGTCTGGTTTTTGTCCCAGAGTTCAAGACAAACTTGCACAGGGGCCTGAAGATGCTCACTTTGCTGATTAGCCGAGGAAGGCATTGGTACTATTTTTTCCCTTTAAGGGAGTGGACTGCTATAATTTAGATATTTGTCCCTTCCAGAACTCCTGTTGAAACTTGATTCCCAAGGTGGCCCTGTTCAGAGGTGGGGCTTCTAGGAGCCATTGAGAATAGATTAACCTATTCATGGGTTAATGGTTTATGGTTAGTAGATTAAGGGTTTATCACAGCAGTGGGGTGGGGGCTTTCTAAGAGGAGGAAGAGAGACCTGATCTCTGCAGAGTCCCCATAAGCAAGAATACCCTCACCAGATGCAACTCTGGGACCTTGAACTTCTCAGCCTCTGTAACTATGAGAAATAAATTCCTTTTCTTTATAAATTACCCAGTTTCAGGACTCGCTGTGTACGAGGATGCCCACTTCATGCACACTGAGCATCCACTGTGTTCCAGGCATTGCACTGGGCACTTGGGATCCCTCAGTGAACAAAGAAGAGCCCTTTGCAGCTTGGAGCCCTCAACATGCAAACTGAATAGGTCAATCTGCATGTGTGAGAAAGAGGAAAAGAGGGGCAGGTGGGCAGGGGTGGGCGTGCATCAAGGGACAAACAAGGGAGAGGCTGGCCACACAGTCCTGGGAAGGGCACTCTGCTTGTGGCTGGGAAGGGTCTGGGTTCCAGGATTAGGACTGGTGAAGCCAGGAGGTGGGCACAACAGCTCGAATGGCACCTTGCTCCTTTGGAGATGGGCCCTGGAAGGCTCTCAGAAGGGGCCAGGACCCCTGGCTGTGGCCTGAGGATAGACTAAGACGGGCAGGAGCAGAGGAAGGAGACTTGTGTCAGGACACAGCCACTTGGGGCAGCAAGGTGAGGCTGGGCCATCCCTGTAGGAGAGATTCCAATAGACACATGGAAGAATTCAGCAAGTGGCAGGAGAGACAGGTGTCCAGACTCAGACAGGAGGTGGACAGGGGATTCACATGGAAGTGGCAGGTACAAGGATGGCATTCTTGGACTTTTTACTATGAACACAAGAATGCTGATGGGACAGTGAGCACCACACACAACCAGAGGGTCCTGAGGCCCATCTGAAGCACGTGTGCCTAGAGGACAGTCCTCAGCACAGAGCAGGGCCAGGGTGAGGGGACCCACAGAGGTTGTTTCCTGGGCTGAGGCTGGAGTCTGCTGAGGGGGATGAGTCTGGCCCAGTGCCTTTCACATGTCACCGGGTGAGACCATATCTGACCATTGGGTTCAGCAACATTGAGGGCCCTGGTGGTTCTGACCAGCAGAGGTACAGTGGTGGTGGGCTCAAGAGTGAACCACATGATGGGATGTGTGCTGTGTGTGGCCACACATGAGTGACACATGGTCTAGCAATTCCGGGCCTACGTAAGTGCCCAAGAGAACTGAAGACAAATGTCCACACAAAAGCTTGGACACAAACGTCCACGGCAGCATTATTCACAATGGGCAAAGGGTGGAAACAACCCAAGTGTCCATCAGGGGGTGACTGGATGAACAGGTGTGGTCTGTCCGCACGAGATTGGCACCAGCCATACAAAGGAAGCGAGCCCTACACATGCCACACGTGTCAACCTTGGGGACCCCAAGCTGACAGAAATGAGCCAGGCACAAAGGGATAAATCCTGTGCAATTCCATGTGCATGAAACGTCTACAGAGACATTTCACAGGCAACTCTGCAGAGACCAAGGAGGCCAGGGCAGGCAGGGAAGCAACTGTAAATGGGAGCTGAAATCTGTTGTTGGCAATGGCTGTACAACTCTGCAGGTATAACAAAAAACACTGAATTGTATACTTTGAAAGTGAATTTTATGTAATGTAAATTATATCTCAACTTTTTAAAAATGAAGGGCAGACACATTGGACATACTGACTACTGGCAACTCTTTCATGAAGCTTCACAGCAAAGGTAGCAAAGAGATGGTGTGAGGGTGTGAAGTTGGAGGGAGTTTTCTCTAAGATGGGAACGGCATGTTTGTATGCTGACAGCATGACTGCAGTGAGGAAGAGAGGAGCCCTCTCTCCTCATTGACACGTTGGCAGGGCAGTGGAGCAGAATAGGATGTCCTCAGGGAGGGAGAGAGGGAGGCAGGTGGCAGGCCCTTGGCCACCCCAGTCCCATCCTATTGGCTTCTACTTCCTCATGTGTACACTGGAGGCAGGGCTGGGGGAGATGGTGAGTGGAACGAAGTGGCCATGGAAGGACTGGACCTGGACACCTGGCATGTTCAGTGGCACTGAGAAAGGCAAGGGCCCTGAAGCCCTGTGTGAAGGGGCAGGATGGGAGCAGAGGCACTGAGTGGATGCCAGGGAACTAGAGAGAAGGACCCAGTGGGGATGACTCCTGGGAGTGGGAGTACTGAGGACTAAGTGAGCAGAGGTCAACAGCCCTACTGCAGGGCTAGAGAGCACAATCTGCCAGGGACAGTCCCCTAGCGGGCTGGGGCCTTTCTAAGTCCTTTCACACATCACCTCAAGCAGGTCTGCTGGGTCAGTGTTCAGCATCCTCATAGCTAGGGTGGCCAGACGTCCCGCTTTTTAACAATTTGTCCGGCGTCCCGCGGCGTTTTAAAAAAAGTCCCGATTTTTGGAAAGAATGCACGAATGGGCGGGAGAACAGGAAGGGAATATACGGTTTTAGGCTAGGGTGACCAGGTTTTTAAATCTGTAAGGCGGGACAACATGGCCAGGGGGCGGAGCGGGGGCGCAGGGCAGGGGACGGGGCAGGGGACGGGGCAGGCAGGGCCTGACAGCAATGCAAACTTTGATATGTAGTTCTCGATAATCACTTCTCAGCAATTATTTATTACAGTTTAACATTATAAAATTAACAAAAATAATATAAAACTCATATTCTGGCAAAATAGCCATATGGCGGCTGAAAACCGTATATTCCCTTCTTGTTCTCCAGCACGTTCCAGCATTCTTTCCAAAAATCGGGACTTTTTAAAAACGCGGCAGGACTGTCCTGCCAAAATCGGGACGTCTGGTCACCCTATTTTAGGCTGTCATATGGCTATTTCACCAGAATATGAGTTTTATATTATTTTTGTTAATTTTATAATGTTAAACTGTAATAATAACAAATAATTGTTGAGAAGTGATTATTGAGAACTGCTTATCAAAGTTTGCATTGTTGTCAGGCCCTGCCCTGCCCCGGCCCCTACCCGGCCCCCCCCCAAGTTGTCCCTCTTTACCAATGTTAAAATCTGGTCACCCTACCCATAGCACAAGTGAGGACTCAGGCTCAGAGCACTCAGGCCATTGCCCCGGGCCTCACAGGGAGAAGGGTCTCTGCTAACTTTGAGCAGTGGGGCCCACAGGCCTGGCTGGAGAGGAGGGCAACTGTAGGCCGGTGATTGGGGAATCTTAGTGGAGCTCAACTCCCACGGCTGCCAGGTGGACAGGCTGTCCTCCACGCAGTAAGAGGACAGGACCTATCTGTGACAGCCTTTCCTGTGCCAGTGCCAGACGCAGTTGATTTTATGCAAGCCCACAGATTTAGTCAAACACACAATCATGTGTCACTGGGAAGGTATTTTTTAGACAAGATTAACACTAAAGCAGTAGATTTGGAGGAAAGCAGATTCTCCTCCACAATTTGGGCATTCACTCAGCAGAAGACCTCAAGGGAAAAAGCCTGAGGTCCCCCAGAAAGAAGTTCAGCCGCTAGCCATCCTGAACTCTGGGCAGCCTCACCTGCACCCCCCTAGGGTCTCCACCAGCCCCACTGACACAGAAGCTGTTCTGTAAACTCAGCCAGCTCCCGGCGGAGCCTATGGTTCAAAGGAGTAGGGCGCCAGCCTCATATGCCTGAGTTGGCGGGTTCAAACCCAGCCCCGGCCAAAAACTGCAGGAAAAAAGGGGGGGAGGGGCAGCGCCTGTGACTCAAAAGGTATGGCGCTGGCCCCATATGCAAACCCAGCCCCGGCCAAAAACTGCAAAAACAAAAACAAAAACAAAAAAACTCAGCCAACCTCTTACTCCACACGCAGGGAGATGCACAAGACAAGTGTGAGGCAGGTGAGAAGGAATGGGGGGGGAGTGCCCTCCTTGGCAGGCCCTTCGCACTTCTTCCTGGAGGAAAAGAGGAAAGCGCCCATACAGGGAGAGGCCATTGGGGCGCCTCCCGCTGCCTCCACACCTGCGTGGACTCCTGGGTGTCTGCCCCACTGTCCAAAGAACAGAGAGACACATGCTAAGAGCCGTCGGCCCCAGCCTGCTCTCCAAGGCCCTGGGCCTACCTAGGCTCTGTCAGCGTCTGGCCGTCTGCGGGCTGCGGAGCGGGCCCGGGGGAAGTGGCCCTGCTCACCCCCTCTGCCTGCCTCCCCGTTCCCATCTCAGGCATGAGCCGCGGGCCCCTTGCCCACAGAAACCCGCCAGCCTGCCCTGGCCCGGGGATTGCCCACTTGCGGCGTCTACGCCCGGCCGGAAACGACGTGACGGCTTCTCCCGTCGCACCCAAGCCGAGGCTGGCGGAAAGGGACGCACGGTGCAGGTAGCTTGAAAGCTCCAAGTGGGGCGGAGCCGAGTGTGGGGGCGGGGCCTCGAGGGGCGGGGCAACGTGGGAGAGGAGGGGGCAGGGGAAGGGGCTGGGTCACACCTAGCGCTGGCGGAGACTCTTACCCTCCTGGCGGGCACAGCCCCCCATCCCCTGCAGGCTTCACCACCCAGCAGCACCCCCCTAGCACTCCCGCCGCGGTTCCGCCCCCCTCCAACCTCCCCGCTGCGCGCTTCTCCCGGAAGCGCCTACTGGGGCCGCAGGCTTGGCCATGGCCTCTCTCCGGGACTTGGTGCGCGATTGGCACCGTGGCGTACAAGCCGTAGAGCGCGAGGACTGGGGCAGCGCCTTGTGCCTCTTCTCACGCGTTCCGGCACCTCCCGCCAGGATGTGCTTCAATATGGGGTGCGTGCACCTGCTGGCCGGTGACCCGGAGGCCGCGCTGCGGGTGAGTGAGTTCCCAGCCCAGGGAGGCATTCTCAAGCCCACCGGGAGAGCCATCAGGGTGCGAATAAAGAGCCAGCTGTCGAGGTCCTTACTCCTGACGGCCACCTGGGAAAGGGACCCCTGTCCTTCCTCCCTGACGGAAACCTTGGGAGCAGAGCCGAAGGCGTGTGAGTGGACCCACCCTGAGTAGAATGAGGCCAGGTTGGAGGCACGGCGCTCCTCACTGCCTCCACAGCGCCCGTCTTGCCGGAATAGTCACCTGGCCAGACTCCAGGCTGCTTCACTCTGGGTGGGGCATCTGCTCCCCAGTTGGAAACTCTGGGGTAGGGGTTTGCAGACACCCTCATCATGGGCAGGAGACAGGGTCTGCCTTCTCCTATCTGCCTCCCAAAGAGTGCTGGGGGTTGCCCAGGTACACCCTGCTTGCCACTGAGGAGGCGGCCTGGAGCTGCTCTGCCCTCCACATGCTTTGGGCTCACTGGGCAGTCAGGTCCCACCAGCACATAATGAAAAGCCAGGGGCACCCTGCCGGCTGCTCAGATCCCCAGACACCCCCACGAAGCACCCAGGTTCCTGTGGTAGTTTGAACAGTTGTCAGCAGCTGCCTGGAACAACCAGTAGATGAACAGAGAAGAGAATTGACCCCCGTGGAGAGTATCTGGGCTCTGTCCTGCAAACCCTGGGCAGAGCATTCCAGGGCCTCTCCTCTTCTGCTCTGGTGCTGCTGGGGAATCCATCCTCATCTCAATGACAATTTCTGTTTTAAAATGTTACCCAAGAAATGGAATATAACCACTAGATGCCAGTTAGTTCAACAACAAATCATCCGAGGAAGGCTAACCCAAAAGCCACTTACAAAACGTGATTTGACCAGAAAGGAGACAAGGGTTGTGTTAAATCTTTCTCTTCCATAATAGGGAGAGAGGGGGTGCTGTCTAACATCAATGCAATTAAGTAGTAATGACATAGGCATATTAGCTGGAAACTTTAAAAAGCAGATGGAACAGCTACAATTAATAAAACTGATTGTCTTTGGAGCAGGGCAGGGTGAAGAGAAGTGTGGCTGGAACTTCTGTCGGTTGGTGTGAATCTTATGTAATATTTGACTTGGCTGGTTGGTGCAGTGGGATGGCCATCCCATACCAGGGCCCCTCAGTCACCACACCCTCAAACCTGGGTCAAACTCAGTTCAACAAGCCCTTACTCAGCCACATTCATAAGAATGAGCTCATAACACCTTCCTATAGCCCATATATAACTGATCACCACTGTCCCGGCAGGGCACATTTGAGTCAGTTTAAGGAAGAGATGTGCTTTACACAGAGATAAACCTTCCATACTAAGACTTTTGTGTTGTTGCTTTGCTGATTCTAATAGATATTTCATGTGTCACTTTGTATGAATTACCAAAAAAAGACTTTAAAAAGACAAAAGTCTTGTATAGTCCCATGTCCGAGAGGTAACTATTACTAGCACACCAGAGGTTTCCTTCCAGCATCTGCTGTGCTCATGGCAGACAAACCAGCCCATGGTGAGGCATCTTGACAGTTCAGGTTTGTTTTGGCTGTGACAGCAGAGGACCAGAGTGGTAACACCCTTGCCCAGGCAGGAGCTCTGAAGTCTCCTGGGGAGATGAAGGAGGGCTCCCAGAGCCTGATGGAATCTGGTCCCTGTCACCAGTCAGACTGTGCCTGTGACACTGAGTGACCAGGTTCCTGACCTGGGGATTTCATGAGCATTTCTGTCCCCAGGCATTTGACCGAGCAGTGACCCATGATGCCTGCATGGCTGTCGGCTTCTTCCAGCGAGGAGTGGCCAATTTCCAACTGGAGAGGTGAGCGCAGTGGAGCCTTGTTCCTCTTCTGAGGCCCTTTGTCTCTCTGCAGAATCTGTTCCTCCGCCCCCACCTCCTCTCTCCCTCTACAACCCTTCTCTTGCCAACCCCTCCTTGAGGATACCTGGGCAAGGATGCTGTAGTCATGCCACAGTCACACTCAAGTGAGATGCAGAGCAGAGCCCTCTGAGAAAGAATGCATTTCCTTGAGCATCCCTGGGCACTCCTCACCGTGTCTTTGTGGTTGCAGGGATGAAGGGAATATGCCCATTTTGGTGGATGTGGGAACTAAGGCCAGGTTGGATGGCAGCTGGTCCTAGTGTCCTCTCTGCCTACCCAGGCTCTCTATACCTTGTCCTTCCTAGAAAAGGAATCAGGGGCAGCATTCCTGGAGCTCAGGAGGCCCCATGCTGGAGGAGATGATCATAATCATGACTGTCCTAGTCTGAAAGATCCAAATCCCTAAAGTACCAAAATGTAATTCTAGAAAAAAAATAATTTAAAACCATTTAGAAGGCTCAGCGCCTATAGCTCAACCGGCTAAGGCGTCAGCCACGTACACCTAAGGTGGTGGGTTCGAATCCCCAGCCCGGACCCGCCAAACAACAATGACGGCTGCAACCAAAAATAGCCGGGCGTTGTGGCGGGCGCCTGTGATCCCAGCTACTTGGGAGGCGGAGGCAGGAGACTCGCTTGAGCCCAGGAGTTGGAGGTTGCTGTGAGCGTGATGCCATGGCACTCTACCCAGGGGGATAGCTTGAGGCTCCATCTCAAAAAATAAAATAAAATAATAAAATCATTTAGAAGATATTTATTTACATTTTTAAAAGGATATTTGAGAGGGCGGCGCCTGTAGCTCAGTGAGTGGGGCCCAGCCCCATATACTGAGGGTGGCAGGTTCGAACCTGGCCCTGGCCAAACTGCAACAAGAAAATAGACGGGCGTTGTGGTGGGTGCCTATACTCCCAGCTACTCGGGAGGCTGAGGCAAGAGAATTGCCTAAGCCCAGGAGTTGGAGGTTGCTATGAGCTGCGATGCCACAGCACTCTACCAAGGACAATAAAATGAGACTCTGTCTCTAAAAAAAACAAAAAACAAAAAACCTTCCCCCCATTTAAAAAACAAAGGATATTTGAGAAACATAAAAACACAATACAACATTCATAGACTACCTCACACAGTAAAATAGGTGATAACAATGTGCATATTTTTGCAACTATAAACACTAACAGAAAAATTGTACCCATAAAGAAATAACTCAAGGCCAGTGTGGTGACTCATGCCTGTAATCCCAGCACTCTGGGAGGCGGAGGCAGGAGGATCACTTGAGGCCAGAAGTTCAAGACCAGCCTGGGAAACCTAGTGAAACTCTGTCTTTACAAAAAAAATAGAAAAATCAGCCAGATTTGGCATATACCTATAGTCCTAGCTACTTGGGAGGCTGAGGCAGGAGGATTTCTGGAGCCCAGGATTTCTAGGCTGCAGTGAGCTGGGATGATGCCACTATACTCCAACCTGGTCACAGAAGGAGACTTTATCTCAAAACAAACAACAGAACAAAACACCACTAAATATGCAGTCACCCAAGGGCTGAGAGATGTTATCTTTCATAAATGCAGATGTATTAAAAGGACATTTCATAATTTGTTGAAGAAGCTTTAACGTGCAGGATTGTGGCATCTGGGATGGTGTCTTTCGGGATTATGGTCCCAGAGCCTTCTGAGGCAGCCTCCTCTCTGATCAGCCCAGGAAGCCCACCTGGGGAGATGGGTGTCCAGCAGGGATTGGGAGGAGGCTCAGAGTTTGGAGGGGTCTTCAGAAGCAAGAGGGGAGGCCCAGGGCATCCTGCACAGTACAGACTGGGCCCCTGGCAGGGGGAGGGGTGCCCAGGAAGAAGGGTCAGCAGGGCAAAAACCTCAAACCCTAGTGTGTCCTCCCATGCCACTCAACCCATTTGTGCCCTGAGCTCTGAGCAACCATGCTGCCCTCCCACAGGGGTCCCTGTAGCTGGGGGAAGAGAGAAGGTCCCAGGTCGGCCCCCATTTCTGCCCCTTTCCCTGCTGCCCACAGGTTCCAAGAGGCTCTGTCCGACTTCCGGGACGCCCTGGCCCAGCTGAGGGACAACGCTGCCATCGACTACACACAGCTGGGGCTGCGGTTTAGGCTTCGGGCCTGGGAGGTGAGCATGCACATCCCCACCACTGCAGGTGGGGCCATCTATGGAGGATGTCACCATCACAGGCAGGGTACCCTCTTGCCAGGGTCCCAGCACCCCAGGAGGCCTTGGGGCCTTGAGTCCATGGAGTTGGGATGAACAGTCTGTACCCAGAAGAGCAGCGAGGTGCATGGGGATGGGGAGTAGGGCAACCTCCTACCCCCCACTGTGTGCTCTGCCCACTCCTGCACAGGGCGGAGGGACACAGGGTCCCCCCTTCCGGGAGCTGCACGCCTCCAGGCCTTCTGGGAACAATATGTGTCCCAATAGACACAGGGAAGCTCACTGGAGTGGTCTGGAACCCGAGGCCAAAGCCTGCCTGTGACCTTTGGCCCACAGGCACAGGCCAGGTAGCAGGGGTGGGGCTACCTTGGCTGGACAATGCGGTCTCCAGAGGACAGGCTATGGGTACTGAGGGCTATGGGAGGACCCAGCAGGGTGCACAGAGGGGACAAGGGGTTGGGTGGCAGGGTTGGCTCCCAGGTGCACCGTGTGGCTTTGCTGTCACTGATGCTGTGGGCAGCCTTAACTCAGCATGAAAAAGTTCTTTCTCACTGAGGGAGGATCCGAGTGTTCCCTAGACCCCAGCAAGGACTCTCCTCAGATGCACTGTGGGGGAGCAGGGTATAGTAGAACACCAGAGGGGGTGTAGCCAAATGCAAAACAGGGCACACAGTCCAGGGCGTGCCCCAAGAGACGAGCGTCTGATGTCCCACGCAGAAGACAGCCCATAGGAATGAATGGCTCCAGCCAGGTCTGGAAGGTGAGGCCCTGCCAATGGGCCACATTGGGCACACATAGGCTGGACAATTCCTGGCTGCCCAAGAGCAAACCAGACAGGCTACAAGTGGCCTGGGTCCTGTCCTCATGTCAGATGGACACCAGAAGAGCCCTCAGCTGCTGTGGCTGGGGAGCCCAGGCTGGGACCAAGGCAGACTGGGTGTGGGTCCTGGTGGCAACCAGGTATGGAACCAGGGGAAGCACCAGGTTAGGGACCAGGCAGGGAACTGGGGGGTACCAGGTGAGAGACCAGAAGAAGGACCAAGTGAGGAGCCAGATGAGGAGGCAAGGGAAGGACCAAGGATGGGACCAGGTGTGGGACCAAGTGAGGGGCCAAGTGAAGGACTGGGTGTGGGACTGAGGGTCTGGGAAGGACCTGGTGGGGAGTCAGGCTCCTGCTGTCACCTGGGCCTCCCTACAGGTGCTGTATAATGTGGCGGCAACACAGTGCCAGCTGGGGCTTTGGACTGAGGCCTATGACAGCCTAGTGGAGGCCATGTCTAAGTGGCCAGAGCAGGCCCAGGATAGCCTGGATGCTGCCCTGGACCAAGTACAGGTGAGGAGTCCTGGCCTGGGACATGGCTTAGGGCTCATGTCCACCTTGGTCCTTCGAGACCAACTCTGTAAGGTGAGGAAGCATACAGAAGGAGGTGGCCCTGGTGTCCCATGTGGGCCTGCTGGGGCTTCCTATGACCTGTGGAAGTGGGGGTGCCCAAGTGGCCCTACTGCTCCAGGGCTCAGTACCACAGCTGTGGGCCTGGGGGACCACTCAGGTCTGCATCAGCTGGACACCTCCCCTCCAGAAACAGGCCTCCCTGCAGCCTCAGCAGGTTCCCAGAGGTGAGGTCTTCCGGCCTCGCCGGCAGCACCTGGAGCATCTGCAGCCTGTGGACTTCCTGGGCAAGGCCAAGGTGAGCTGCCTGGTGGGCTGTGGAGGGCAGGGCAGCCTGCAAGAGCCCCTGCTGTGCAGTTCAGCATTCAGTGGTGTTCACAGTGACATATGGGCCTGGCCAGTCAAAGTCATTGTAGAGGTCTGGAGGGCAGAAAGTGGGCAGTAGGCCATCCTTATGCCTCTCAGGTTTGGGGGGAGGCACCACAAATTGGGCTGTGAACCTGGGACAGGATCAACCAGAGCCACCTGCAGGCTCATGCCCTTATGACAGTGACCCATGGAGTGCTGCTAACCTGATCAGCCTGGCCACAGCCACACCCTCTGGCCTCTATGTCTCAAGGTCCCAGAGAGGGCCCTGGTTGGCTGGCCTGGGAGCCACATCATGCCAACTCCTAGGTCAGGGACAGACAGCACTGCAAATCACAGGGCACTGGGGAGCAGCTCACCACCAAAGGCAGAGATAGAATGTGGGGAAGCTGGTGACTACCCAGGTGCACACGGAAGAGCCCCCTGGTTTTGCCGTGATGGCTCTTAGGCCAGCTGCATACTAGTGTCACCTATAATAGTGTTCAGGCCCAGGGGGAACTGCCTGTTTGACCAGCTGCCAAGGCAGGTTGCTGGGAGGCCCAGGGTGGGTGGGGAAGGGCTCTGAGCTGAATTGATGCATCAATTTGAAGTCTGTGTCACAGCAGAAGACTATAAGAAAAAAAAAGTTTAAAAATTGTGCTAAAAAGTTAAAACTACCAGCAGATGTTTTCCTCTACTAAACTCATTTTTTCCACCATGGTGGTCTAGCAGTCTCCCATCCACCAGGTCCTAGGCCCCCCACCTCCATTAGAGGGCCCAACCTGACCTGCTGCCCACTTCCCCTGCCAGGTGGTGGCCTCTGCCTTCCCTGAAGACCAGTGCTCAGGTGTCTGTCCTCAGCAGTCCCAGGTGAGCAGGTAGCCCCAGGCTTGTCCTGCCCTGTGTCCCCTTCCAGGGCACAGAGCTCCTCTGGTGGGAATTGACAGGGTGGCCATCCCATCCTCATGGAAGGGCCCACCAAAACCACTTGGTGGGAGCGAGGAGAGCTGTTTGCTTCCTACACTCTTGACTGGAAGAGGTTGTCACTTTCTGCCCACAGGGACAGGGTATGAACCCTGAAGCCAGGCCCAGTGCTGCACCATGGTAGGAGGGGCCTGTCCTTTGTATATCCCTCTCTTGCTGGGCAGAGGCTCTTCTGGGAGGCCACTCATGGCCAGGGGATAAAACCTGTGCAAACCATTTCCAGATTGAAACTGGCTCATATCCCAGTGCCAGGAAAGAGGAGTCTAGCCTCTCTTGGCCCACTCCCTTTACCTCCAGCTCCCCTCCCAGGCCTCTGAGGGAGGTGGGGGGCCTAGGACTTGGTGGATGGGAGGATGGTTGAGACCACAGTGTCACCATAACTCCAGGTAGCACTGAGAGAGGAGGGACAAGGGTCTGGGCTGAGCTACCCGGGAAGAGGACCCAGTCTCCCAGGACATTGCCAGATCTCATAGTAACCACAGGTGCTGGGGTAGGGTTTTTACTCCATTTGACAAGTGAGGCTGCAGGGGGGAACTGCGCAAGGTTCCACACACACCTTGGGTTGGTCTTTCTTGGGACCCTTGAGCCAGGGCAGGAGCACTGGTTATGGCAATGAGCACCTAGCTGGGTGAGCCCTGAGAACAAAGGCCCTTCCTCCTCCCCCAGGACCAGAGTTATAGACCCCCAAAGAGCAGGCATCCACCACAGCCCACTCAATGCAGGGACGGAGGCTGGTCCTGACCAAGCAGGGCAGGCTGACCACTGCACGTCGGTCTCCCGTCAGGAAGAGGTGTGTGAGCCTGGGCCTTGCCCATGGGACCCATGTGGGGGGAATAGGCAGAGCCATCCTGGTAGGTGAGTCCAACACCAGGAAGCCCAGATGGGGCTGCCCAGCTATGCACAAGAGCAGGCGCTGGTCATCAGGACAGGAGGGAGGTGGTGTCCAGCAGAGGTCTTCCAGCAGCAGCTCTTCCCTCCACTCTGGACATGAGTGACCAGAAGGGACAGGTGGGGAGGGCTGGGCAGTCTGGGGGGCCCTGGGGCTCCTGCTCCTGCACCTCTAGCAATAGGCTGTCACTCTCCTTTCCTGGCCCTGGTGCCCCAAGCTGGAGTTGGGGGGAGCTGGGGGAGTAGGCCTCAGATGGAAAAGTTCCTGCTTCAGAGGACACAGTCGAGAGTAGCTGCCTTCACACACTCCTTCACTGGGACTCACTCCCAGCTTAGCACTCAGTGCCCTTTACAACTGCGTGCAATTAAATTCCCTCACACACTTAAAACCATCTGCTAAGTCTGCGTGGGTTTTTGAGCACTTGGTGTTCCTGACCTGATGGCAATACCTTCCTAGTGACTTTATCCGTCAGTGTGTCCAATGAATTAAAACCTGATGGCTGCACTAGTGGCCTAGGCCTTCACACTGACAGTCCTGATAGGAGTCACTATTGAGCTCCAGCCCCAGCCCTGCCATGTGTCCCTTACCCATTCACTAAGTGCCCAACTTAGGGTTAAAAGTTAAAGTCAAGCCAATGCAGTGGCCAGTCCCTGGACGGTGTTCTGAGCTTCCTGGGGACTCCAGAGAACCCCCCAAATTGAGCTGCTGCTCTGCAGGGACATGGGAGACAGGCATGGGGGGGACCCACCACACTCCCACCCCCGAGGTGGCTCCTGCCCCAGGCCCCCCCAGCCTGTGCTTCCCCTACAGAGGTCCCATATGGAGCAAGTTGGAAGACGGGCTCCTCCATGCGCAGGTAGGGGGTGTCTTCCAGGTGAGCTTGGGGTAGTCACAGGTGTCCTGCTTTGGTGTGGGAGGTACTAACTGAGACCCTGCTCTGTCCTACAGGGTTGCTGGCATGTGGGGGGCCTAGCCCCGGTCCTGCTGAGGACCTAGAAGGTGCTGGGGTAAGAGGAACCCCCCATCTTCACCCATCAGCCACTCCTGGGGGGCCAGGCCCCACCCTCAGAGTCAATCCTCACAAGCTCTTAGCATCAAATCCCCACTGCAGTTTTTGCCCTCACCCTTGGACCCAAAGTCCAGCCCACAGTCCTGGACTCAGGCCATCCCATCTCTTTCCCCCCAGGGAACAGCCACCAGCATTCCTGAGCCCTGGGTGACCATCACTGTGCAGTGTGCCTTCACTGTGGCCCTGGAGGCCCAGAGGGGAGCTGACCTGTCCAGCCTGCGAGCACTGCTGGGGCAGGCCCTCACTCGCCATGCCCAGCTGGGGCAGCTCAGGTAGGCACCTCTCAGGCAGAGACAGCAGTTGGAGGGGCCAGCACAAGGATCAGTGGTCATGCCCTCTTTGTGATCCCCAGGTGGCCCCCTCCAGGCCACGTTGAGAAGTCTTTTTGCAGCTACCAAGCCCCTGGCGAGCATGGGCACTGGGTCCCCATCTCCGGGGAGGAGGCACTCCAGAGTCTATGGCTGGATTCGGACACTGTCCCCAGAGGGCTGCAGCTTCAGTGTCAGGTAAGCCAAGGGAAGTGCAGGGCTGGGTGGCCCTGAGGGTTAGGGCAGGGTGGCCCTAAGGATCACGGCAGGGTAGCCCTAAGAGTGGGGACCTCCCCTCCCGGTGCCTGGCCTATCCTGCAACCCTCCTTCCACTGCAGGGGGCAGGGGGACGGCCTGTCCTCTACCAGGTAGTGGCCCAACACAGCTATGCAGCCCAGGGACCCGAGGACCTGGACTTCCAGCAGGGAGACACAGTGGACGTGCTGTGTGAAGGTGGGCACAGCCTCTCTAAGCCCTGTGTGGTGTGGAATAGGGGACAGGGATGTGGGGGCTCAGGGGCTCAGCCTGTGCATGAGCAAGATGTGCCACCCTGAGACCAAACTGAGGTGACACTCCCTGAGTGCTGGACATGACCCTGCAGTGGACACGGCCTGGCTGGAAGGCCACAGGGATGGCCGCATCGGCATCTTCCCCAAGTGCTTCGTGGCCCCTGCCACTCGTCGCCTGTGAGGATCCTGCCTGCCCCTGGGCCCAGCAGGGAGGATCAGCCCCAGGAAATCCTGTGTCCAGGAGGTTTTAATAAAAACACTCCCACATGATGTGGTCCACATCCCAAGCTAAGTGACTGACAGGGGCCTGACCAAAGCTTCCAAGAGGGCGTGGGAGGGCCTGGCCTAGGAGGCACCATGGTGCCTGGACTCCATCCATCTGGTCAGACAACTACAGCAACCAGGTCTCTTGAGCCCAGAGTGGCCCGTATGTCCTTCTGGCTGCAGTTCCCAAGCTCCTCCCTGCTCCATCTGCGGCCCCTGAGACAGACTTTACAGAAGCCTCTGCACATGGCCTTGGGGTACTGTAGAAAGGCACCCACTACCCTAGGAGGCTAGTATGGAGGGCCATGGGTGAAGGCCGTGCACTCTAAATGGCCAATAGATCCTGACCGGGGTGTCCAAGACTATGAGGCCAGAACCCACAGAACGAGCCACTGCAGCTGTCAGGCCTCAGGAAGGCTTCTGAGTCCGAGGTGGAGCCACTCACCCAGATGGGTGGGCTAGTCCTGGGGCCAGAGAAGCCGGACCATAGCTGCTCCCAGAATGGCCACCAGGGTCAGCACCACAAATGCCACTCCAGCCGCCCAGATGCTATAGCTTTCTGCCCGCCACTGGGCTGGCGCCTCAGCCGGGATCATGCCAGTCAGATTCAGCATATAGCCCAGCGTCCAGCCGATGTCCATGCCACCAGCCTGTGGGACATATGGGCCTCTCAGGGCTGCAGGATGGCTACCCAGAGCCCACCCCTGCCCTTGTGCCAGGGAGGTAGTCACCTGTTTGTGGAACTCGATGCTGGGCCAGGTCTCCTCGCTGAACCCAAAACCCTCCAGCAGAAGTACAAGGATGTACAGGCCTGAGGCACAGTAGTCAGGCAGCCAGCGGGCCTGCCCAGGGTAACTGGCCTCCACCTGAGGTCCAGGAGGCCAAGGGGCTAGGTAAGGGCCCACGACCACTCTGCCATGGTGGACCCTCTGTGCTCTGATCTCCAAATAACAGGAGGGGTCAGGCAGTTGGCAGAGACCTCTTCCCACTGTCCCATGGAACCCTGAGCTGTCCAGAGGAGCCTGGTGTGGCCCTACCTCATGGCCAACCTGAGGCTGGTGCCCCCTCTGGTTATCCTCTGGACTTCTAGCTGGAGCAGGACAGCCAAGGTGCTGTCCTTCATGCCCACAGCCCCTAGGCCCTGCTGCCTGCCCAAGGGCCCTGTACCCTGGGAGTCTGGGGGCCACCCACCAGCTTCCAGGGCATCTTGCAGAACTTCCACATTGTGTCATTGACAGTGCCTAGTGGCTGCCTGGACGTGAGGTTCAGGAAGTGGAAGGTGTAGAAGAAGTTGGAGAAGGCCTGAAGGGCACAGGAGTTTCTGGGCGAGGCCACGCCAGGTGCACCTGGGGTCAGTCCCCACCCACAGGGAGCCCCAGAGTCCCCAGGAGCCAGCCAAGGCTTGGCCCGTCTCTCCCATCCCTCCCATCCCTCCTGTTCCTGGGTGGGCACTGGGCGCTCTCACATAGAACTGGCCTCGCAATGGGGGCTGGTAGACCCCGTCAAAGGTACAGTCCCCTTGGCCCTGGCAGCTGGAGAAGTTGAAGAGTTCCTGGATGGCTGTGATGCAGGCCCCCGGGTTGCCTGTCCCTTCCACTGTGAGGTTCTGGGTGAGGTTCTGGGGGGCCATGGAATGGACACATGGGGACTCATACAGGGGGCCTGGGGCCAGCGTGGTGCGGTAGCCACTGTGGTAGCAGGGGTGTCGGACCAGGTCAGCTGAGCTGCTCTGCAGAAGCAGGGAGGCCTAAGCACTGGCCCAGCCAGCAGCCCCCCACCACCCCTGGGCCAGCCTGACCTGCACCAGCTTGGTTAGGAGCCTGGTCAGCACCTGGTCCCGCCCAAAGCAGAGGTAACTGTGTGTGTAGACGTGGTGGCTGGAGCCGTAGAGCCAGAAGGTGGCCAGGGCACTCTCGTCCTCGATGGGGCCCCCGGGCACGAAGGTGATCTGGGTGGAGGCCCCCCCCAGGTCCAGGGCACCCACAAGCATCCCCTCTGGAGGCCGGATCCATTCTCCAGAGAATGAGAACTGACCACAGATGGAGCTGTCAGCCATGCTGGCCCTGTGGTCTCCCCCTCCCCCCATGGGCTTCCTTGGGCACCTTGATGAGCAGCCCCAGGACATAGTTGACAGTGACCCAGGCAAAGGCGCCTTCATCTTGCCCATCCAGGAGCTCAGCACCCCGAAAATCCACAGGAGACTGGGCCAGGACCTGGGTGACTGCTGCAAAGATGTCCTCTGCCTGGGAGCTGTTCTTTTGTCTGGGCAGAGAGGACAGGGCCAAGCTGGCTAGAGCCCAGCCTGGCACCTGAACAATTCCCATTGGTGGAGGCCCCTCACCTGAGCAGCCGCATGCCAGCCGTGGCCCCTAGGAACATGGGTGTCCCCCGATGCTGAGCCTCTGGGATCCGTGCCAGCGCCTCCTCCAGGCAGCCCTGCAGGCTCTCACCGGCCTGTGCCGGGTTGGATGCATAGGAAGAGATTCCAGGCCCTGAAACACAGCATCCAGGACAGGCTGCAGGTCCCCAAAGATGTGGCCACATCCTGTACCCTGGAGCCTGGGAATGTGACTTAAGCTGGAGCGAGGGTCTTCTCAGTGTAAGGAGTTAGCAATCTCGAGATGAGATCGTCCTGCACTGCCTGATGGACTTGTGTCCTTGAGAGGGGATGGAGATGGAGATCTGAAGGCAGAGACAGAAGGTGGGGCGATGGAGCCACAAGCTGAGGATGCCTAGGCCACCAGGACTGAGGCAGGATGGAGCCTCCCCTGGAGTCTTAGTCAGGTGCAGCCCTGAGACACCTTGATCTTGGACTTCTGACCTCTCAAATTGTGAGGAATAAATCAAAAACAAATTTAGGGCCCCCTGTTTTCCCCTTCAGATCCCAGGGCAGGCACCCCTGCTGTTAGCAGCCTCAGCCAGCACAGACACTGGGCAGCAGATCCTGGCAGAGGTGGCACAGCCAGGGCAGTGTTGCTTCTTCCCATGGCCCAGTTGTATGACCTTGAGCAAGTCACTTGGCCTCTCTGACCCTTTCCCTGTAGGTCAACTTTCTTTTGCCAAGGGGTGGAATTGCAGTAGTTCCTGCCTGGCCCACGTGGTCTTGCCCTCTGTGCTGCCTCCCAGACTTCCACGCAGTAGGGCCCAGCTGGCAGCACTGACCTTCCACCTGGCAGGCCAGGGCCTGGCTGACCACACCCGTGCCATTCTCCTTGTCCGCTGGCCACTGGTACACGAAGAGGGATGTGTGGGAGGAGCCAGCGTCAATCACAATCCCAAACTGTGGGTGGCACTGGGGTCAGGAGGTGAGGAGGGGCTGCGCCCAGCAGTCCAGCTCAGCTCCCCCTGCTCTGTCTGGGCGCACCTTGGTGCCTGCGGGCAGGAGGATGTTGGCAGCCTCCACTAGGACAAGGACCAGCGCCGTGAGTCCAGAGGCCACTGCGGCCCCCAGCAGGGCTGTGAAGACCTTCTCCTTCCAGGTCAGCCCCATGGTGAGGGCAGGGCTGCTCCTGCAGGGGTAGGGGTCAGCCGTGGGCACCAGACTATACCTGCTGCCCCTGGCCACCCCTCCAGAGGGGCACCTTGTCTCCACTGAGATGCAGCTGCCTGTCCTGGAAAGCCATTCACCCTGGTTACTGCCCTGGGGCTTGGGCAGTCCCCCTTGGTGGGTTTGGTGACTGGGGGTACTCAGTGGACAGACCAAGCACCTCACTGTGGAAGCCTCAGTGGGCAGACCTAGCACCCCACAGAGGGAGTCTTCTGCCCAGGGTCCCAGGGGCAGTGGAGACCTGGTCTGGGAGTACAGCCCCAACAGGGTCCAGAAAGCCTGTATGGTACTGCTGTTAGGGCAAAGGCAGCCCCTGTGGCCCCCATGTTACCTGGGGGAACCCCCGTGCCTTATCCCCATGGGAGCCGGAGCCCAACTCTGGACTCTGAAGGTGCCAGGGCTCTGTGGCCCCCACCCGGGCCTCTCTAGGGCAAGGCGGAGGCCACTGGGGCTAAGGGCCACATGTGAACCCAGGTTGAGGCCTCTTCTCCATCAAAGGACTGTCATGCAGGGGCTTCTTAACAAAGACATCTGGTTTCTATTTAAAACCTAGCTACTCAGGAGGCTGAGGCGAGAAGATTGCTCAAGCCCAAAAGTTTGAGGTTGCTGTGAGCTATGATGATGCCATGGCACTGTACCCAGGGTGACAGAGTAAGACTCTGTCTCAAACAAAAATAAATAAATAAAAATAAATAAAACCCAAACTTGGATTTCTCTAATCTGATTTTGAAGTACTTTAGTGCAGTGGTTCTCAATCTGTGGGTCGCAACCCCTTTGGACTGTATTAAAGGTTTGTGGCATTAGGAAGGTTGAGAACCACTGCTTTAGTGGGTCACAGATGACCTTAGGCAGGAAACTGAACCCAAAATGCCATTTGCATGGGGCCCGGGACAAGTCCAGCTCAGTGGCCAAGGCATCCACACCCTCTTAGGTCGTGAAGGGCCAGCAAGAGGCCCCAGCCTGAAAGCTGCCACAAGCCACACCCAGGTGCAGGGTCACCAGGCACCCTGCCAGGTTGCACTGGGCCTGCTTCTTGCTTGGCAGAAACTGCATGCCAAGGTCTCCAGCACTGAGGTGCATGTGATTCTGTGTCATATTGTGTAACCCCAAGAATGCAAACCCTGCCAACATGAGTGGCCCACAGGGACCATGCTGGTCCTGTCCTGGCTCCTGGGTACATGGTGAGAGTAAAGATCCCCATGAAATTGTGTGTGGTGGAGAGATAGAGGCCATTCTAAGGAGGTAAGACAGATCCTCAGAGAAGACAGGTAACTGCCCAGACCCAGACAGGACCCAGCCTATGTCCCTAAGCACACCCTGGCCATGGGCTGCCTCACAGGAACAGCAGAGGACAGGCAGAGAGTGGGAACAGACCCCCAGAACTCTATCTCCAGGGAATGTAGCCCCTAGGTCAGTACAGGCCCTCAGGCAAGGACAGGCTGCCCAAGACCAGACGGACCCCCCTGAATCAAGATAGCACCCCAGCCCAGGATAGCCTCCCTCAGACCAGGACAGGCACCCTTAGATCAGGATGGGTCCTTCAAGACCAGCACAGGCCCCCAAGGCAAGGATGGGCCCCCCTTGAACTAGGACAAGCCCCCCAAGACCAAGATGGGCTTCCCTCAGACCAGGACAGGTCCTTCAGACCAGGACAGGCCCCCCAAGACCAAGACAGGCTCCCCTCAGACCAGGACAGGCCCCTTAAGACAAAGGCCCCCCTCAGACCAGGACAGGTCCCTCAGACCAGGACAGGCCTCCCAGACCAAGACAGGCTCCCCTCAGACTAGGACAGGCCTCTTAAGACAAAGGCCCCCCTCAGACCAGGACAGACCCATAAGACTAGGACAGGCCCATAAGACCAAGACAGGCCCCCCAGACCGGGACAGGTCCCCTCAGACCAGGATAGGCCCATAAGACCAGGACAGATGCCCCCCAGACCAGGACAGGCCACCTCAGACCAAGACAGGCACCCCTCAGACCAGGACAGATGCCCCCCAACCAGGACAGGCCCAGAAGACCAAGATAGGCCCCCCAGACCAGGACAGGCAACCCCCAGACCAAGACAGGCGCCCCTCAGACCAGGAAAGATGCCCCCCAGACCAGGACAGACCCCCCCCAGACCAAGACAAGCCCATAAGACCAGGACAGGCTCCTCAGACCAGGACAGGCACCCCACCCCAACCAGGACAGGTGCCCCTCAGACCAGGACAGGACCCCCAGACCAGGACAGGTGCCCCCCAGACCAGGATAGGCACCCCTCAGACCAGGACAGGCCCATAAGACCAGGACAGACGCCCCCCCAGACCAGGACAGGCCCCTAAAACGAAGACAGGCCCCTGAATACCAGGTTAGGCCTCTTAATACCAGGATGGCCCTTCTAAAATGAAGATGGACCCCTCAGATCAGAACGAGCCCCCCCAAGACCAGAATGAACTCCCCAAGATCAGCATGGCTCATCAAGTTCAGGGTGGCCACCCTCAGACCAAACTGGGCCCCTAAGACAAGGATAGCCTTCTTAAGACCAGGATGGCCTCTCAAACCAAGACAAGTCCCACAAGACTAAGACAGGGGCCCCCTAACTCAGGATAGTACCCCAGAACCATGACAGCCCCCCTCAGACTAGGGTGGAGCCCCTCCAGACCAGGTTGGGCCCCTCTCAGACCAGGACTGGCCCTTGCCCCCTCACCTGGCCTGGCCAGCAACCTGTGTCGGCAGCAAGCAGGAAGGTCTGCTTTGAAGTTCCCAGTCCTGCCCCTGCGTCCAGCCTCCCTACTGCCCAGCCAGTCACCGCCCACCTGGACCTGGGTCCACTGCTGGTGGGGGCAAGTGCATGTGTGTCCACCCACTCCCAGCCCACAGACCCACAGACTGAGGCCAGCAGGACCACCTCCTACTGTAGGGTCACGGGCGACATTGACCCCTATAGGTCCACCAGTCCTGGGCAGAGGCAGAGGAAAGGGCCAGTGTCTTCAGTCCAGGATGACCTTCCGGCTACAGGGCCACTGGGAGGGCAGGTGCTCCCGCTGAGAGAGACCCACCCAGCCCCTCCCTACCCAGGTGGACTTTGTTCCCCCACCAACCCCCTCCGTAGGCAGACCAGGGCGGGGCAAGGCCGGCCTGGCGTCTTCCTCTGTTGCTGGTTGTTTTTAAATAATGTGGCAAAGTCACCTCCTTCCCAGGCACCTGTAAGCAGCCGTGTCAGTCCTGCCATGCCCCTCTCTACCCCTCCCACGGCACTGGGTCCGCAGGTACTCACTGTGGGGCACCAGGGCCCTTCCTTGTGCCCTGAGAGTGTCCCCTTTTAGGGATGGACCCCAGTGAGCATTCAACGGGCTTTGGACCAGGAACAGAGCTGCTGTGGATACTGATGCACACACTTCCCACTTTTGCTCCTTTTGGGTAAACACCCAGGAGAGATTCCGCTCTCCTTACCTCAAGACAAAGCTGCCAAACTGATTTCTAGCGTGAGAGATCCAATTTCTCTGTTTTTGCCAACAATTGATGTTGCGGTTTGCAGTTTTGGTCAATTTGGAAGCAGCACAGCCTCTTGTCAGTGTGGGGCCTAGGCTGTTCACGTGGCGTCTTCTTGCCTTCTGCTGCCTTTATCATAACTCCTTTGCCCATTTTTTTTTAAAATTAATTTTTAGAGACAGCGTCTCACTCTTGTTCAGGGTGGTCTTGAACCCGTGAGCTCAGGCAATCTGCCCTCCTCAGCTTCCACTGCACTCAGCCCCTTTGTCCATTTTTAATTGGATTGTTTAATGCTAAGTTTAGAGAATAGAGCCCTTTGCCAGGCCCTGCAAATGCTTCTCCCCAGTGAGCAACTTGTCTTTCCATTGTCTTAGTGTATTTTACAGAGCAAATTTTAAAATTTTTGATGAAATCTAGTTTTCTTTCTCCTAAAATTTTTATAGTTTTGTTATCTATTTAGATCTCTGATCTTTTTTGAGTTAATCTTTGTGTAAGTGTGATGTTTAGGTCAAGATTCATTTTCTTTACATATAAACAACTAGTTATTTCCATACCATTTGTTTGTGTGTGTGTGTTTGAGACAGTCTCACTCTGTCACCTTCGGTAGAGTGCCGTGGCGTCACAGTTCACAGCAACCTCAAACTGTTGAGCTCAAGTGATTCTCTTGCCTCCTCCTCCCAAGCAGTTGGGACTACAGGCGCCAACCACAACGCCTGGCTAGATTTTCTATTTCTAGTAGATTCAGGTCTCACTCTTGGTCAGGCTGGTCTCCAACTCCTGAGCTCAAGCAATCCACTCATCTTGGTTTTCCAGAGTGCTGGGATCACCAGTGGGAGCCACTGTACCTGGCCTACAAATTCAGATCTTTATAGATAGAGGGTTGTTGACTTACCTATTTCATGACTTTTGCTAGTTTGTGGTGTTGGGACCTTATCGCAGCTGAAAGACCACCACACACATGCAAGAACAAAGAGGTGCTTTATTTATTTACAAGCGTATGCCTGGGTCACTCTACCCTGCAGCGTTGCTGGGGGAAGGGCCACCCCAAAGTGAAGCTAGCAGAGGTTTTTAAAGAGCATAGAGGAATTACATCAGGTGTTTTGTCGGGCTGGGTTGCTATTGGCTAAGCTGTTTTTGGTTAGGGACTTTTTTTAGAGGGGGGCTGCTTGAAGGGGGGGGCTGCTTGTTTGTTTCTGATAGACTGGCTCCCTTTAAGCTGACTGACCTTGCCAATGAGAGCCAAGGGACAGGAAGCTGGTCCCCTTCAGACTGGCTGCCCAGAAATGCGGGGGAGGGAGCGTCTCCTTCTGATAGACTGATTCCACCTGGTTGGGGAGTGAGTTCCAAAATGGGGTTACATTAACCTCTTCATTCCCAAATGAAGTTACATTAACCTCTTCAGTGGCTTTCAAGGATTTGACCAATTCTGCCTAAGCTGTCAAATGTATATGAATACAAATATTTGTAGTATTTTCTTGTTATCCTTTTAATATCTGTGGGATCTGTATTAGAAATAGCCCTCTCTTGGCTCGGCACCTGTGGCTCAAGTGGCTAAGGCGCCAGCCACATACACCTAAGGTGGCAGGTTTGAATCCAGCCCGGCCCGCCAAACAACAATGATGGCTGCAACCAAAAAAAAAAAAAAAAAAAAAAAAATAGCCAGGCATTGTGGTGGGTGCCTGTGGTCCCAGCTACTTGGGAGGCTGAGACAGGAGACTCGCCTGAGCCCAGGAGTTGGAGGTTGCTGTGAGCTGTGATGCCATGGCACTCTACCCAGGGGGACAGCTTGAGGCTCTGTCTCAAAAAAAAAAAAAAAAAAAAGAAATAGCCCTCTCATTTTTCATATTGGCAACTTGTGTCTGCTCTTTATTTTTGCCACTATTGCTAGAGGTTTATCAATTGCATTGATCATTCCAAAGAACCAGGTTTCTGTTTCATAATTTTTTCCGAAGGTTTTGATTTTTGAATTCTGCTCTTACATGTATTTCCTTTCTTCTTCTTGATCTGGCTTATATTGCTCTTCTCTGGTTTCTTGAGGAAGATTATATCAATGATTTGAGACTTTTCCTTTTTCCTAATATAAGTTTTTGTGCCATAAACTTCCCTGTAAGTGTTGCTTCAGCTGTATCTCTCAATTTTTTAAATGTTATGTTTTTATTTTATTCAGTTAAAAATACATATATTTTTAAATTTCCACGAGACTTCCTTTTTGATCCATGGATTATGTATAATTGTGTTGTTTAATTTCCAAGTGTTTCAGCTTGTTGCCTGTGGCTCAAGTGGCTAAGGCGCCAGCCACATACACCTAGGGTGGCGGGTTCCAATCCAGCCAGGGCCGCCAAAACAACAATGATGGCTGCAACCAAAAAATAGCTGGGTGTTGTGGCAGGCGCCTGTGGTCCCAGCTACTTAGGAGGCGGAGGCAGGAGACTTGCTTGAGCCCAGGAGTTGGAGGTTGTGAGCTGTGATGCCACATCACTCTACCCAGGGGGACAGCTTGAGGCCCTGTCTCAAAAAAAAAAAAAATTTCCAAGTGTTTGGTGTTTTCCTGATATCATTCTTTTAGTGACTGATTTCTAGCTTGAATTTTATCATGATCAGAGAACATAATTTATTTAATTTTATTTTTAATTTGCTAAGTTTTTTTTGTACAAAGATATGGTTTATCTTGGTGCATGTTTCACGTGCATTTGAGTAGAATATGTATCTTGCTGTTGTTGGGTGGAATGTTCTATAAATGTAATTATGTCCAGTTGGTTGATGGTATTATTCAGTTATTTTATATCCTTGCTGATGTTCTGTTCGCTAATTCTGAGAAATGAACGCTAATGTTTCCTATTGTTTTTGTGAATTTGTTTATTTCTCCTTTCAGTTCTATTGGGGTTTGGTTCAAATATTTGGCAGCTGTTTTTAGGTACGTGCTTTTGAGTTGTTACACCCTCTTGAGGATGGGCCCTCTTTCACACTTCTTTACTCTGAAGTCTACTTCGTGTGATATTAACACAGTCACTCCCTTTTTCTTTGCTGCCACCTCCGGCTTATGGGGCTGGCACCCTACTCCTTTGAGCCACAGGCACTGCCCCCTTTTTCTTTTGATTAGTATTTGCAGGGCATATTATTTTCCATCCTTTCACTTTGCATCTACTTACATCATATTTGATGCTAGACTTTTTGGCCTCCAGAACTGTAATGAAATAAATCTCATGTTTAAGCTGCCTTACCTGCAATTCGTTGTAGAACAGCTGAATTTGTGCACACTGCCATTTGAATTGTCATTCCTCTCTAGGTTAAGGTGACCAGATTTTAACATTGGTAAAGTGGGACACCATGGGGCGGGCAGGGCCTGACAACAATGCAAACTTAGATAAGCAGTTCTCCATAATCAGTTCTCAACAATTATTTGTTATTATTAAAGTTTAACATTATAAAATTAACAAAAATAATATAAAACGCATATCCTGGTGAAATAGCCACATGGCAGCTGAAAACTATATATTCCCTTCCTGTTGTCCTGTGTTCCCTAGCTTGTCGTGCATTCTTTCCAAAAATTGAGGCTTTTTAAAAACACCACAGGAGGCTCAGGGCTTGTGGTTCAAGCGGCTAAGGCGCCAGCCATATACACCTGAGCTGGTGGGTTCAAATCCAGCCCGGGCCTGCCAAACAATGACGGCTGCAACCAAAAAATAGCCGGGCGTTGTGGGGGGCACCTGTGGTCCCAGTTACTTGGGAGGCGGAGGCAGGAGACTCACTTGAGCTCAGGAGTTGGAGGTTGCTGTGAGCTGTGATGCCATAGCACTCTACCCAGGGG